TCACACACCTGATTTCTGATGTCCCAAAAGCGAAACGCATATGGCATACATGCGACGACGGTTTCAAATAATCCATATTGTGGGGCTATGCGAACGGATAGCTCAGCGTCGCGAAAGTCCAGCTGACTGAATTACACACACACACACATACACATGCGTGTCAGTGTGAGCAACCGCGTTTATTGATTGGTTCGTGAGAATAAATGGAATGTATGAATAAGAGAACAGAAATAGTGGCAAATATCTTTAAACCATTTCCGAAACTCAGGTTCTTTACTTGCATCCGATCTATGCACACCATTAAATAAAACGCATCAGCCACAATCGAAACAGGTTTTCAGCAAAGCTAGTTGTTGACGCACAGAGAAAGGGAACAAGGGACGCACCTCTTCAAAACTCCACTCGGTGTCCACCAACGGATCGATCTTTTTCATATCGATCAACTTGATCAGTTCGGTCCATACAGAGCGAATCAGGTCATGCTGTCGGGTGACAGCCGCGGTCGCTGTGGCCGTACTGGGTCGAGGGAAAAGGAACGATTTGAGAGAAAAACCGCCAAGCATGCGGTTGTCCTCGTGCAAACGAAGCGGATTGATGCGTTCCACATGAAACCACTGTGAAACAGAAAGGCAAGTCGAAATCCGGTTTAACGAGGATGGTGTGTGTGTGTGTGTGTGTGCGTGTGAAGATGGAAAAATATATATGAATTTCGTATTTTTCACCTTTGTTGTTATCCCTTGCTCGATCTCCCACCCACCCCCCGACACAAGAAAACAGTTTCATAGAATGTGCTTTCAAATGAAAAAAAATAAATAAAATGAAAAATCATCTCACCCTGTTCATCATTCCCAAAGTTGAAGCAAAGCGCACATCCTTGGACGACCAAAATTTACAAATGTCCGGTAAAATGGAAACTACATTAGTTGCACTGCAATCGCAACTCTGTTTGAATTATAGTCAATTATAGGGCAGTGTTTAGATGAGCGAAGCGTGAGGCAACAAGCTCGTAAAGGTGAGTTGTGCTACATCATATATGTTCATAACGGTCTCCGATCAGCTGTTGTCCGGTAACAAGTGGATAGTGTGCTTGCGCTCGAACCAATGAGGTCTCGGGTTCAATCCCCAATCGGATCGACGGATTCTGGCACTGCACTGATGAAACCCAATCAGATCGAAAACAGCTGTCCGGTGCTGCCTAGTTTTTTTTCAGCTCACCCATCATTTACAAGAATTCATTCATCATATCACTCAATGTATCTAACTATCGGTACGACCATCCCGATGTCCAAGGAACCTAACGGGACTTATGTGACCCAGACTTCTGGTAAGGTTTTTCATACCTTTTCATACTAGGTCTTGATCACCTTTGACTTTCTTAAACCCCCTACCTGCCTCGGCGAACATCGCTCGCCGTAGAAACCTATCTGGTGACATACGTGACACATGTCCCAACCAACGTAATCTGTGTAAATTGACCGATTTCTTCAGTGGGTGACCGTGACTACCTAAAACTCTTCGCCTAACCTCAGTATTGCTCGTCCGGTTACCCCAACAGATTTGTGCAATGCAAAGCAGACAGCGATGTTCGTAGTGTACAGAGCAAATGCAACATGAATTGAATAGCTGACAAATGCCGTATAGTTGTTTTCATCTGGTCGGATAAGATCAACAGTGCGAACCGAACAACCCAATCCGAGAATCGCGAACACGGAACGGCACAGGTAGAGCGCAAGCACACAATCAACTTAGTCAACAGGCAGCAGCAACTGGTCAAATTGTATTTCATTTAGCCCACACACGATACAGCAGCAACACAATCGATCTTCACGAGCCCAATGCAGGCGCCTCAGGCGGCACGCATCAACACGAACCCCTGGGGGCTCTCACGAGGTTGGACATAATTCGCGAATGACTATTTGTTAGGTGGTACTGGTGAAACCCAAACAGGTCGAAACAGCTGTTTGGTGCTTACCAGATATCCAGTTCACGCATCATCTACCACCATTTGCACAACTGACTTTATCATTAGATGTGATAATTCTTAATATTCTTAATCGATTCATGATTTTTGTTTGGAAACCATCGTGCTCAGATGAGTAGGGTTCGTAGGGCTTGCCATCATGGTTTGGTGTATACCGTTCGCTCGGTGACAAAATGAACGGGACCAATCACAGGAGCTCCAATGGTCAACCGCTTCACTTCTGTTCTGCTCGCTGCGATCCCAAATTTGATGACATGTGTGGTCGACAGATGAACACAGGTGAAAACATGCATACATACGTACATACATACATACATACATACATACATACATACATACATACATACATACACCGAGGTTCGCTGTATACAGCGCGAAAGGAATGAATGATTTGTACTGGAAATGGATATGCACCGATATATTGACAAGGACTGACAAGTACTCTATGCCTGGAGAAGATGCCAGCTTCTGAGGACGAATTAGAATGATATACACACATATACAGAAAGCATCAAATGTTGACCTCGGAAACAGGCAACAAGCAGTTGCTCACTGCGTTGGTGACAAATAGCAAAACGTCTGCAAGCTGTTGGTGTCGGTGTAATTATTCGCAGACAATCATTTCCCTCTGTTTCCAACGCCTCAAAAGTGTCAACTGATCAAATTGTTTTGCCTTTCCCATTTCTATGTAAACGACAGTATTTCAATTCGTTTCTTTCGTCGGCTTGGGATTTCTATGAGAAAACTGAATTTGCAACTTGTTCATCTTGCATATAAATTTTGGTTTTTCTGTAATCATCAACAACCGAGACCACTCCGTCTTACTTGTGTTTGATTCAACCATGTATCTAAGTGTGTGCGGGGGTGGGCCGAGGGTGTACGATCTGTCTATGGGGTTTCAGTCTGTTCGGTCTCTAAGATTGTTTCCACAGATCCACACCTTAGTACCGCGTTGTGTTTGATGTGTTTCCTTGATATGACTTGACTTTCGTCTATCTGCCCGTCTGCTGTAAGTTGATTTCGCTAATTACAAATGACCACACACATGCACACGAAGAGATGTACTCGTATTATAGATTAGTTTATCAATTTATCACAGAAATAGTCTGCTTTGTACTAATGAACACCGAAACTTGTGCATTTTTTGTGCAGCTGCGGTAAAGGTTCAGTGCATTCAACAACAACCACAAGAACAACAAGACAAACGTGCACACTAAATGACCTGACCTATGATAACCGCATACCAAGTGCTGCCATCCAAGACGCATAAGGAACGGCAAGCCTCGCTCCTCGACACTCTAAACTCAGAGCAGACGAAAGGAAAACCATTATAAAAAAGTGGGACCATGTTTCGATCAATGTAAATTCAAGCGTGAGTGCAAATGCGTGAACGAGAATTCTTCCGAATAATTTCAGGAGTACCGGCAATATTCGCTGCTAGCCCCTTGAATCAACTATTCACGGGGTAAATGTGCCTGGTTCGAGCGTGTGAATTCCAAAGATGATAAACATCTGTCCCTGAATCTGTCCGAATATCGAATCGTTTTTTCCCCCAGGGAAGTTTGTATGCTTCTCAAAATCACCAGCGGGACCCAATATGTATTGGATTAAAAAAACACTGATATGTTTGAGGATATTGCTTGCCCCATTTCGTCAAAGTCCATAACTGTTGTACCGATTCTCAAGAATGTTTCCACTTACCTCTCTCTATGACCTCGTGCGAACTGAAAAAGGAAATGAAATGAACCATCCGGTGTCGTTTACCCGCTTCCATCGTAGTCCCAGTGAAAGGGCATCAGTTCACATACAAAACAAATAGATGTGGCATTTACATGCGATGGAAATGTTTGTGATAAACGACACCGGACAGCTGATTCGTCCTCCTGGGACTCGTCAGCAGTGCACGTACATTTTACGTCCCTGTCAGGACTCGAACCGTGAACTTTCCGGTTGGGACTTCAAACCTTTACCCTCTCCCCCTCAGCTACACGGTCAACGGTCATCACCTTGATGTTCTTGACAATCAAAAGTGCCTGATACCTCTGAACAATCGAATGGGTTAATCCAAGTTTGCTACTCTAAGGTGTGTCATTAGTGCCATGACAGCCCTTTGATTGACTGCTTCCCCGTTCTTGAAAATTGTATCTTTGTATGTTTGTGTATGTGTGGACGGTTCGTTCCTTTTTATGGACTACTTCGTTATCGTTGACTTGATGTCTCTATCTCTACTGCATCACAAACTAAAACTCTCCCGTGTCCCCCCGTATTTTCTAATACGGTTGTGTTATGTATTTCTAAGAGTATCAAATTTGGCCTTATTCGTTTCGAGTGTTTACACGCCCCATTGCACTATGGATGATCTTGGGTGTGGATTTTACTGTTTTTTGGGGGATCGGTCATCTTTCTATCGCT